GGGGGGGAGGGGGGGCACAGCAAGCACAATGGGCATAATCCCCCTCCCTTCGATTCTGATGAAAGCCATTCTTCCCCTTCTCCCGCCCCAAATCCAAATTATGAACAAACGACTCCAGACAAATGCAATTCAATACAGTCAAGTTGTTCTAGATTAAAATTTGGAAATCTAAGCTGTAGTTTTATTATTGTGCCTGCGCCAATCTAGCACCTCTTGAGCATCTAGTTCAGGTTCTCTGTAGCAATCTATTACTGTGGCGATTTTAAGCACGTAGAGAGAGAGAGAGAGAGAGAGAGACTTACAGCCGTTTATTATCACGTATTCTTATATACTTATATAGATGCCGGATGACTATCCCCAAGTGAAAGGATCGGAGGTATGGAGACGAAAGTTCCGCACAAGATTTAGAAATCTTGATTCCGATGGTGACGGTTTTGTGTCGGCAAATGATTACGTCATGGGCGCCCTGCTTGTGGCCGAACGCATTGGATTAGGTGGTAATAAGTTCTCTGTCAAGACGGCCTTCTCCCCCCCCTCTCTCCCTCTCTCTCTCTCTCTCTCTCTCACACACACACACACACACACACATGGCTTTTGATAACTTACATTTCTGTGGAAGTTCAATATGCCATGGTATACAGGGGATATTGATTCAAACAGATCTATATATGCACGTCGAGGTTTCATAATAAACTTTCTTTGGGGGAATGATGCTACTGACTTTTAAATTCAATGATCAAACAGAAATATCAAAATTTCAGCAAAACGCACAAATGCCTTGCTAGAGAGCAGACTTCACGTATGGAAGAACATCTCCACCAATGGAACGGGCGTGGACACAGTCACCGAGGAGGAATTCATCAACAACGTCCTGGCAAGCGTCAACTCGTCCATCCGCCATTACATACCCACCCACGGCAGCCGTGAGTTCGATACAATCGACCAAGATGGCGTCGGGTTTGTCTCTCCTAAGGATCATGAGCAATTCTTTTATGGAAACGCCATTCCCGTTCATTTTTCTCCGGAGATTTTCAAAGTTCTTGATACCAACGGCGATGGGAGATTGAGCAGAGAGGAGTTCGTGCAAGGATGGGTGGATTTTCTTTTGGGCGAAGATCCTGAAAGCCCGTATCATTGTTTTCTTGGTCCATTGGTTGACTGAAACTACATGTAATAAGCATACTTCAGTTTCGCCGATATTATGAGAAATGCCCTTGGTTTGCTACATGTTTAACAAATACTCTTCTTGGCAATCCGACTCTGAAACTGAATGAAATTAGCACCCTTCTTGTGAATTCTTGACTTATAAATTATTTTGAGCAATAAATTTAGGAACTGCTTTAACAGGGGTAATTAAGGGTTATGTACTGATTATAATGGCACACTTGATGCGAAACAGTCTATCGTTTCTTCCACCTTGGGTCCCTTATATTTAAGTTCAATATTGTAGTACTCATATTATCCATTTCATTTGACACTCTCTCTGTTTCTCCCCCTTCCACTCTCTCTTGTAAGGAAGGGAAATAATTTAGCACCAAAATTCTGCATCGATCTTCAGAAAAGAAATGAGTCAATGAACCAGTGGGCTGGTCCAAAACGTCCGATATAGCATTATTACATCAAATAACAGCTGGCACAATTTTAACTGCAGTTAGCTAGTGTCACTAAAGATATAATCCGCTGCGCGCTTGAAGCTGTTGAAGGATGGTTCGCTACCGGAGACCGTTTGTTTACGTAAGTTCTCTAAGGGGGCGTGCCTACCCAGGCGACCAGGGGATTAGGCTAGTCACTATACGCCGTCAACAATCGTTTAGCGACCCTATCGTTTAGCAGCTTCAGTAGGCGTGTCAGACATCTAAGCCGCTTAAGCTGAATGTAATTTAGCGAGAATCCCCTCGGAGATGGGTCGATCCTGCTAGATCGATCTAGGTATGGGAATGGGGTCATATATACATTCAATTCACTTTGACAAAATATATTGCCATCATGCCAGAGATGTGTGATTTTCAGTTTAAAGCCCACAGCCCACTAAACGAGGTATTGCTGGTAGAACCTTTTCACATCAGACAAGACATGCGGGTGTTGGTGTGAAAAGGAATAAACAATTCGTACTCCAAAGAGACATTCGTAACAGACGATGGAAAAATAAACCAAATTTTAGGACACAAAGGCAACATTATTTCGCGCCTAAATAATGTATGGTATGTAGCATAATGCCATTTTAGTGGTTAATTTCGGAGTGAGACAGAACGGGTTTCTGACAATCACAGTATTAATTATTGTACAAGAGCAGTGTCGATACTAGTTTGATAGTTGTAATTTCAACAACACACGGAGAAGAAATGTTTCGAATTTTATCTTTTCTGCATAAACCTTCAGTGTTCGTTCTGCCAAAGAGGGGGTTCAAAAAGAGAGAATTTCAGTTGAATAAGGTGAGTTTGCAACCTCCGTGAACGAAAACGCGTACGGTTACGTTTTACGTCTGAATTTTATTGTGTGTGTGTGTATGGGGGGGGGGGGGAGCATTTCCAAACGTTCTTTATCAATTTATATATAATGCTTTCTGGTTAGTTGTTTATACTGTGTACGATTCTAATCGAATTCAGGTCATGTAATATTTTCTAAAGAATTTTTTTCATTGCAGTAATATTTACATTATGACTAGGAGGGAGATTGGGGCTATACTCGCTTTCCTTCTCTTTTCTCTATGATCTGGTCAGACAAAATCATGTCAAAAAAGTGTCATTAGACATGTAGTTCTTGAAAAATGGTCAGAGAGTTGTAAAAGATTTTAACCAAAAGGTGCCTTTCTGAAACAAGAAAAGGTCTCTTTAAAAAAAAAAAAAAACAAAAAAAAAAACAAGGTTCTATTTTTTCAATCTGTAATAATTTTGCAAACACCTGTCTGACACTGTAATATCATAACAAAATTGCTACACTCGTCACGTCTAAAACTCATGGAGCATCAGATTTAAATAATTTCAAATGATTTTCTAAACCCATTCATATATTCTTATACAGATGCCAGATGACTATCCCCAAGTGAAAGGATCGGAGGTATGGAGACGAAAGTTCCGCACAAGATTTAGAAATCTTGATTCCGATGGTGACGGTTTTGTGACGGCAAATGATTACGTCATGGGTGCCCTGCTTGTGGCCGAGCGCATTGGATTGGGTGGTAATTAGTTCTCTGTCAAGCCAGATCTCTCTCTCTCTCTCTCTCTCTCTCTCTCACACACCCACTCACAAACACCTTCATGTTTTACCTGCATANAAAAAAAAAAAAACAAAAAAAAAAACAAGGTTCTATTTTTTCAATCTGTAATAATTTTGCAAACACCTGTCTGACACTGTAATATCATAACAAAATTGCTACACTCGTCACGTCTAAAACTCATGGAGCATCAGATTTAAATAATTTCAAATGATTTTCTAAACCCATTCATATATTCTTATACAGATGCCAGATGACTATCCCCAAGTGAAAGGATCGGAGGTATGGAGACGAAAGTTCCGCACAAGATTTAGAAATCTTGATTCCGATGGTGACGGTTTTGTGACGGCAAATGATTACGTCATGGGTGCCCTGCTTGTGGCCGAGCGCATTGGATTGGGTGGTAATTAGTTCTCTGTCAAGCCAGATCTCTCTCTCTCTCTCTCTCTCTCTCTCTATCTGACACACACACACGCACACACACACACACACACACACACACCTGACTGTGAAAGACATTTTTCGTGTGTTAGTTTTGAAAACAAATATTTCTGTGGAAAATAAATATGTTTTGGTACACAGGGGACATTTCCGCAAAACAGATTTCGGGGGTTTTCATAAGACAGTTTCTTTGGGGGAATGATGCTACTTACTTAGTGCTGTGGCTTTAATTTAACTTCAATTCACAGTACATAAGGGTTTTATCCTAGCAAAAATGAACAAACAGAAATATCAAAATTTCAGCAAAACGCACAAATGCCTTGCTAGAGAGCAGACTTCACGTATGGAAGAACATCTCCACCAATGGAACGGGCGTGGACACAGTCACCGAGGAGGAATTCATCAACAACGTCCTGGCAAGCGTCAACTCGTCCATCCGCCATTACATACCCACCCACGGCAGCCGTGAGTTCGATACCATCGACCAAGATGGCGTCGGGTTTGTCTCTCCTAAGGATCATGAGCAATTCTTTTATGGAAACGCCATTCCCGTTCATTTTTCTCCGGAAATTTTCAAAGTTCTCGATGCCAACGGAGATGGGAGATTGAACAGAGAGGAGTTCGTTCAAGGATGGGTGGATTTTCTTTTGGGTGAAGATCCTGAAAGCCCGTATCATTGTTTTCTTGGTCCATTGGTTGACTGAAACTGCACAGTAAGCATACTTCAGTTTCGCCTGATGGTATGAGAAATGTCTTTTGTTTGCCACATGTTTAACATATAATCTTTTGGGAATCCGACCCTAAAACTGATTGACATTATAGCACCCTTCTTGTGAATTCTTGACTTATATCTTATTTTGAGCAATAAATTTGGGAACTGCTTTAACATCGGACATTTTTCCAGATTCCTTAATATTTTACAAGTATTAATTGCAAAACTGGCCAGGAAGTAACACTTCTGACATATGTTTGACATTTAAGTACATTTATAAAAATACAACATATCGGTATATATTGCATACAAATAAAGATAATTATAAATAAATGAAATAAATGAGCAAATAAATAAATAAATAAATAAATAAATAAATAAAGAATCAAAAGTTAAGGATGTAAGATTGTTTTGTATTTGTTGCGTTCCTGACAAAAAGGAATGGGACCCTAGCTAGAAATAAACAAAGAAGTAATTGAGATAAGTTATTTTCGGGATTTATCTTATTTTGAACAAAAGTTGCTCGATTGTTGCATCTGATGGGTGATTAACACGCCTCCTCCTGACGTTGAGCAGAATACAGAAAAGCTCGTGATTAAATTAGTATTAAGTTAAAAAAAAAAAAAAGGAGGCGTGTTTATCTGTTAATCTGATCACATTCAGCAAGAGTCTCCGCAAAGTAAGTTCGAATTACCTAATTACCTAGTTTCATTGTGAGCGCAGCCCCTTGGACGCCATCTTGGAACTCTATGGCATGTGTGGAGACTGGTGGCGAGAGGCGAGAATAGTCCAAAAATCAATCGTGCTCCAAGTAGTCGGGTTTTAAATGTACTCTCTGATCACAGGTTCCGCTAGTTGTCGGTTTCAAAATTAACAATGCATGTGATGTGTTATATCTATTTTCATTGTTATTTTTTATTTTTGGTTTTATATAAACTGCTGTCGTTGAGAAATATGATGTATGGTGACAAGTAGGTCTACGGGGCAGGGGTTATAACCTTGTCACAATAGTAAAAGAATACTCTATGGATTCGCTGTTCTTTGAGACTGATTTCCACAACAACTCAGCAATCAAAATGCGCCATCGTAATTTGCATAACAACAAGTCACGCATCGCAGTGCGAGCTATGCTCCTGCCTGGTCACTTGACAGCTAGACCCTGTAACAAGATGACCTGCATTGATACACGTAGGTGAAGTCAGTGAGCCAACACACTTTATTCAGCTTTGAAGCTCGGACCCATTGTGTACATGTTTGGTAGAACCACGTGTGAGTAAAATATCTTCTACTAGCGTTTACATGATTAGAAAATGTGGCATATGTACAATACATATGTAAGCGTACTGTATATGTCAATGCACTGCTTGCGTAAGTTTTCGCCCTTACATGTTACAATGTAGTTACCCATATCGCAGGTAAGGCCTCAAGTCGCCTGTTTCAGACTGTAGTTGTTATAAATATCAACATCAAAACTTATGTGTCCTCCGTCGGTCCTTGTAGTGCATGGTTCCCATTTATGTGCAGTAAGATTACCTATTGCATGTAAGGCCGAAAACTGAGGCAAATGTGCGGCAAGTGTTAGGATAATTTACAGAGATCTCCCCTGTTGTGCTTTTAGTTTGATATTACTTGTGTGTGTTTGTCAGAAACTCGTTTAATTGTAAAGTTTATGGAATGGGTTGAATATAATCTTTGTCGTTTATAACTAATATGTTCTTTCAATTGTCTGCCTTAGTTCAAATTGTATTGCATTTTGAAATCGTAATTAACACATTACTTTGATATTTCAGAACTGCCAACTCTGCGGTGATCCTGCAAAATGCACGTGCGTCTGACTGCCTCTCTCCAGTTTCATTTTTTGTGCAATGGTGTAATTACTAAGGGATTTCAATGTCATTATGAACTTTCAAAGTATTTGTGTATCACAACTTTCAAACTTAAAGGTAAAAGTGCACTTTTCACAACGTTGCAGGTTAAAGTTCGGGTAATTAATTAATTTACTTAGTTTACATTTATTTTAAATTAAAATTTATAATGAATGATTCATTTTTATTTTCAACATTTGGAAGTGTTACACAGCTACACTGTATTATTAATGTGTCTGTTCCTGTAAATGACGAGAAATTCATAATTGCTATTTTTTATTCGATCTTAAAGACACATAAGTCAAAGTTATATTAATAAAAAGCTCCTCTATCTGAAATATATTTTGCACCTTCAAATTAAAGCAAAAAGAAAAAACAATTTTGTGATAATATGTGTTGCAATTGGCCCAAAGTGTTTTTGTGTTAAGATAAGTTTAGAAAAATGGGGTGAAGTATATCACAAAAAATATATATATAAATTCTAGATCTGACAATTTAAAAATGTATTAAATCTGCTCAAATAAAAAAAAAAAAAACATGTCGCCTATTGGCCCATCCTGTTTACTGCACGATTAGTATATACAGGACTAATTATCCTTTCAAATGTCCATGGGAAAACTGTCATATTTTCCTTCTCCTGATTTTTTATTAAGCTCGACACCATATTTAGATATTGGTTTCTATAAATAAAAGGCATTGATGCTGGTACTGAAATCTCAGTACAAAAAGAGAAAGCATTTGGAGGAAGCTCCAATGCAAATCGAAACCACGCTTCCCAAATGTCAATAATTCATATTTTATTATATTATTTGATTAAAGTCTTTGCCAATCTTAGTGTATATGCATTTATTTTTATTATATTTTTTCACCATTATTTTCTGTTGCCTAAGATGTCTCAAATAAAAAATATATAAGAATGACTATGTTTTATAGTTTGAGTGTGGATTGTGTGACTGCATTGATATGGGAGACAGTTTAAACGAAGGGTGACGAGGGGGGTTAGTCCATTAAATTTGAGGGATGACAGGTGGGGCGAGTCTATTCCATTTGAGGGATGACAGGTGGGGTGAGTCTATTCCATGTGAGGGGTAACAGATGAGTTGAGTCCATTAAATTTGAGGGGTGACAGGTGGGTTGAGTTCATTTGATTGGAGG